TGTTCGTTCTAGGGGAAGATCCTTCTTGTCTACTCCAGCTCCTGGTAGCCCTGGGCGTTTTTTGGCGTTCCTTGGCTTAGAGATGTATTTCATGTGGCTTCTGTCTTCCCCCTGTGTGTGACTTTCTGTCTTCTCCCCTTTTATAAGATACCACTCAGAGGGATTAGGACTAGGCCCACCCTATCTGGAATGATTTGCCTGATAGTATCTTCAAAGAAAGACCCTGTTTCCCCACACAAGGTCACATTCTCAGGGACAGGGTTAGGACTTCAACACACCTCTTTTGGGTATGGTTTGGGTATGTCAGTCCATAATACCCTCTTCTGCAATCCTGGTGCTATAACCCAGATGAGCAGAGGGGCTGTTCTGCACCCCCTTTACTGGCCAACCCCTGCTCCAGGTAAGTCAGCTTTGCCCTTCCTGGAAAAGCCAAATTTGACCCCTTCCAGAGCCCCAAGCCTCTGCAAACTCAGCAAGACCCAGAACGCTTGCCCCTGGGCAACAGGGACCAGGATCCAAGGCCAGGCAGCCCCCAGTGCCCAGTCCTTCCCAGGTCTGCCCACAACTCCTAGGTACAGGCAGTTCTTATTGAATACTTCACCCCAACCTCCCTATAGAGGGAAAGGCCTGGCCCTTCAGCCTTTGGAGGGGGGATGGATGTGAGGGGGGTCTGTTGAAAGAGGAATTGATATCCTTGAGACCCCCAGAACCACTTTGGGCACTGCGAGTAACACCTCAACATGGTCCACCTCTGCTGCCTGAAATCCCACTGCTGGAGACATTCCTTAGAGCTCCACATTGCTTTGTCTGCTTCCTCTTATAAATTGTGACAGAGGATAAGCCACCAAAACCCCAAAGTGACCTCCGCAGAAGTGTCTTGCCACGTTTTGCTGACATCTTCTCAACCAAGTTAGGCTGAGTAGGTTTGGGCATGAGATAATGAAGCCGAAAGGAACTTTTATTTCATGCTTAAGTCCTGCTAGGCACTGTGCTAGGTGCTTTCCATGCATTAATCATTGACCCCAGGGATGTTCCCCATGTTTTCTAGGTGCACAACCTGAATCTCAGAGTGTGGCTTCTCCAAGGTCACAGAATGAGTCCATGGAGGAGCTAGGGTTTCCTGGATTTCATAATCTAGGTCTGTGTTCTTCTAATCTGACAGTGGCCCTCCTGGGGGAAGGGGAGGGCACAGGAAGGAGGGGAGGGAGTCCTGCATGGGAAGGGTCAGTGGCAGGATGACAGAATCTAGACAGCACATGTGGGAGCTCAGATCTCATCCTTGAGAGGAGGTTTCAGTCTGTGAGCAGGGCCCATGGCCAGACTTCCAGGCGGAAGTGTGGAGGGGATGATCTCATGGCTAATTTGGGACCCTGCTTTTGAAGAGCTCATCTCCTTTCCTACTTTCACCTCCTCAGGCCAGGGTACGGGGGAGCCTCCAATCTAGGGAAGTTGAGAGGAATGACTTAGGGTCTTAGCCCTTGGCCAGGGGATTTGGGGCAAGAGAAGCTGTGTGTGTCAGGAAGAAAGCCCTGATGGAGGTAGGCTGCTTCTGGTGTAGCCCCTTCCTCAGCCTGCCAGAACCACGGGAGCAGAGGAGCAGGTGGCTGTTCATTCAGCAGGAACCCATGAGCCCCCGCCATGTACCAGCTCTGTCCTCAGTGCTGGGGTGAGGCAGTGGCCGTGCCTTACAGTCCAGTGGGGAAGGCAGACAACACAGAAGTACAAACAAACAAGAAAACCTTTCAGATAGTGATACATATAGTGTAAAGTAAAAGGGATAGCGTGACTGAGGGGCAACCTTAAATAGAAGACCTCTGTGAGGAGGTAGTATTTGAGCTGAGACCTCTGCAGTTCAGAAACACAGGTGGCTTGTCCAAGGCCACACAGCAAGTCCATGGTAGACCCAGGCTAGGACCTGCCTCTAGATACCCATTCCAGCGGTCTCTCTCCTTTTAGAAACATGCTTCTGTTGGATTCTGACATGTTCCCCTGGTTTCTCTCCTACCCTGTTGGCCACTGCTTCTCAAACTCCTTGACTGGCACATCCGCTTCCCAGTTGTGGCTGCTCCCAGCACTTCTCTGTCTGGAAGGTGGGCTTTCACCCAGTCTCCTGGTGTTGAACACCATCTGTATACACCCTGATGACTCCAGAACTTTCACCTCTTTCCCTCGCCTCTCCCCTGAGTTCCAGTGGCCCACTTGGCATCTCCACTTGGATGTCCAATGGCTCTATTAGTTAGGACAATGTTAAGTTGATATATAATAAGGAGATCGCAAATTAGAGTGGTGTAAAAATACCCAGTTGATTGCTCTGTCACGTAATTGTTCCAAGGAAAGTGTTTCAGGCTGGCAGATAGTTCAGTTCAATATGATCATTTAAGGACTCAGACTACACCTACTCCTCCCTATCTCATTATCCAACATTTCGCATTTATGACAACAGTGATAAATCTACTATCTGACTCTTTTGCACATTAACGACGTATATCTGGCAGTAATGAATGCTGAGGTTCGCAGTGAGAGTAACACTGACTGTGATGGTTAAGGTTATGTGTCAACCTGGCTGGGCCATTATTCTCAGTGGTTTGGCAGTTATGTAATGATGTAATTTGGTAGTTATGTAATGATGTAGTCATTCTTCATTTTGTGACCTGATGTGGTCATCCTCCATTTTTGCATAACACCTATTTTTCAATAATGACCTGGTCTTTGGAACGTAACCATGTAGATGAGTGACGAGTGGGTGTAATGATGGTTCTTTCTGCCATCTTTAACAGGGAGCATCCTAGGTCTCTAGTTCTCATTCTTCTAGCCAGTGTGAAGAAAAAAACATAGAAGTCTAAGTAAATGAGGCAGAAATCACACGTATCATTTCTGCTCACATTCCACTATTGAGAGTTTAGACACATGACTGTACCTAGCTGCAAGGGAAGCTGGGAAACGTGACCCAGCTGGGTGGACAATTAGCAGTCTCCACCACAGTCCACTGTCTAAAACGGTGAACACTTCCCTGCCCTGGAAGTGAATGTAGTTGTCTGATTAGACCCTGGATCTGCTGTTTGGGGGTGACCCTATTGTCTTGTGTCCTTTCTGGTCCTTGGCTTTGCCCTTCCTTTTTCATCATTGTCCACACAAGAAGGTGTTTGAGATGTTGTTTGGAGGCCGAATTGGGGTTGAACAACCATGAGATTTTGTAGTTTAACCTTGCAATTTCTTTGATAATTGATTTTCTTCAAAAACTTAGGTTTTAGATCAGTCTGCTTCCAGTCAGTTCCATGTGCCAATAACCACACCCAAAGTTCCTTTCTTCATAAAGTTCTGAAGTCTGTCTTCCTTGCCCAACCCATCCCTTTCCCCCTCATTTCAAATGAAAGTTGCCTTAAGGGCTATCTGAAATAATAGGCTTGCATGGAAAGGCGACACTCTTAATTAATACTTGTTGTATAAGGGAACCCTTTGTTTGGCTTAATGTTTGGCTTCATAGGCTTTGAGAAAGGCCCTGAGTCACAACAGTCTGATCTTCTGCTGTTTTGACAAAACCAGTTGGCTTTTCCAACTCCTAAGACACTAGTTTTCTGGACAGTCTATTTCTGTCCATCTCTGTTTGCAAACTGGCCAATCTCTTTCTTGTAATACCTTGCTAAAAGCAGCATGAAGCAGCCAACACATGAAAACATTTTTGGCTCCTTCCAACCACATTTCTAGGATGATAGACTTAGTAGGCATGCGGTTTGTCTTCCAAGGTATCACAGGTGATGTTTTTAACAAATGTTTTGTCACAGCATAATAAGGATTACCAGTTTTATATCCTCTAATATAGGTTCTCACTAAATCTTTGTTGGATGGTTATGGAAGGAATAGATGCCAAATCCCGATTCCCTTCTTTGCCAGCAGCCTGTGAGCCTTGCTGGGTGTCTGCTGGTGCACTGCTCTGGGTGTGCCCGCAGCTCAGGCCCCAAGGTCAGGGACTTGCTCACAGTTTCCCCAAACAGGCCTGGGGGTCCTAGGACACCTGGCAGGGGCTGCCAGCCTGTTCTCAGAAGCCCTGGAGGGCAATGGTGAGCTTTAGCTCACTTGCCTTCAGCCCTTAGCAGGGGGCTATAAGACATGGACTCTGGAGACCACCTCACCTGGTTTCCTCAGTTACTAGTGGGTAAGTGACTTATCCTCCCTGTGCCTCAGTTTTCTCAATGTAATGTAAAACCAGGAAGTACCAATTACCACACAGGGGTGTTATGAGGATGAAATAGGACAATACGTGTAAAACAGTTCACTGGCTGGCTTGGAGTAAAGCTCTCCAGATGTTTACAGGAGATGCTGCAGGTACACTGCTATTATTGTTGTTGTTTTTAGTGTCATATCCAAGGGTCGTTCTTTTCTGAGCATGAATAGTGTACCCGAGGGACTTGGAGGTGGGTGAGGAGACCAACACAGAAAGAACCAGAATGGAATAATCGGTGGTTTGTTTGTGTTAGAGAGAGAGAGAGAGAGAGAGTGTGTGTGTGTGTGTGTTTATTGGGGAGGGCAGTGGCAAGGATCCAGAAAAGAAATGAGCCCCTTCCTCCGAGCTCAGCTCTGGGAGCCTGGTGCGCCCTGGCTCTCCCTGCTGCAGGGAGAGCTGGGAGCTGCAGCGCGCCACGAAACCCAGCGTGGAACTAGCGGTGGAATAACCAGCGCCTGGAGTGTGTGCATCTGAGGTTAGGGGCGGGAAGGGGACTTGCATCCCCACGGCGACCTGGGTCGGTATAGACGTGGGCCGATCCCGGAAAGGACAGTGGTAGCCCAGTCCGGCCCATCCGAGGACCCTGCTCCTGGGCCGCCCCCCGCGTGCTCTCGGGGCCTGGGATTCTCCCGGAACCCCGCGGGCGGGGCCTGCTTTCCGGAGCCGGGTTGGCGGGGGGCGGGCGGGAGGACGGCAACGGGAAAGGAGCCGTTACTTTCCCTGAGTGGCGGGGAGACGTCCGGCGGAAGGGCGCGGGGCGCGCACGCTTTAAATGGCATTCGCTGTCATCCGAGCTCGCAGCCGTGTGGGCAGGAGCGGGCTATATAAGCAGCTGGCCGGACCGCCACGGGGCAGACGGCTACAGCAGCGGCGGCGTGCGCCTCGAAGTGCAGCGGAGCAGCGCCCCCGGAGCCCTTTGCCCCCCGACGGGCCCGCTGCCCGCCCGCCCTCCCAAGGAGCGCCGGCCCGGGCCCGCGAGGGCCGCCGCCACCCCGCAGCAGATTTGGATCCCCCGCCCGGTGAGCCCCAGGCTGCTGCCTCCCGGGGGGCCCCGGCGCAGCGGCCTCCCTTGGAGAGCCCCGGCACCCAGCGGCCCGGCCCCGCAGACACCGGCAGCGCCATGGCGGCCGCCAAGTCTGGCGAGCTGATGGGCATCTGCTCCAGCTACCAGGCGGTGATGCCGCACTTCGTGTGCCTGGCCGACGAGTTCCCGCAGCCCGTGCGGCCCGCCAAGCTGTCCAAGGGCAAGGGCCGGCTGCGGCGGCCGCGCCAGTCTCGCTTCAAGACGCAGCCGGTGACCTTCGACGAGATCCAGGAGGTGGAGGAGGAGGGAGTGTCCCCCATGGAGGAGGAGAAGGCCAAGAAGTCGTTTCTGCAGAGCCTGGAGTGCCTGCGCCGCAGCACGCAGAGCCTATCGCTGCAGAGGGACCAGCTCAGCAGCTGCAAACTGAGGAACAGCCTGGACTCCAGCGACTCCGACTCGGCCCTGTGAGTGGCGCCGCCCAGAGCGAGGCCCGCGCGCCTCCGCGGCCGGCCCGAGGAGCAGCGTGCGACCTGGAAAGGGGGCCGCGTCCTGCTACCTGGGGACTCCGGGACTGTCGCCCCCCGCGCGCCGGGACGCCCGCCTAGCTGTGAACTGGTTGGTGCCTCCAGCGCCGGCTCGCCCCGGCGCTCAGGGGAGGGGGCCGCTTTCTTTGCCCTTGTAAATGTTTATTTTTTAACTCTTCCTAATACGAACTGTATTGTGAGTGTGTGCGCGGAGGTGCCCGCGCCCAGTCGGCCCCTTGTCCGATGGTTTGCAACTCCGACTTTGCACACCGCTCCACCGAGCCCCCAGCGCACACCCGTCCACACTCACGCAAACACTCTCTCGCTGAACACTTTTATAATTGTTAGGCGCGGCCGATGGGACTTGGGACGCAGCGGAGCTGCTGCTGCGGCCGGAGGATTGATATTTATTTTTGCATTGCGATGGCTGACGGCGTTTATTTAACGATCTTTTTACCCGGATATGTCTGTGAGGCTCCCGAACGGAGAAAAATAAAGCCAATATATTTGCACAGTGCATTTCTCCAGGCTCTTGACTTCTTCAACCTTCAGGGCCCAGGCTCTCAAGGCTCGGGGGTGGGGTAGGGGAAGACCTGGCGGGGATGGGAGGCAGGGGACCCGGAGTGGAGGCAACTTCACCAGCTTCAGTCACCGGAATGAGTTCACGCCCCCGGTGCTCGGGTCCATTACTCCCATCCCTCCCCAAGTGGATGCACACCCGGCCCAGAGCGCTGCTGCCTCCCTGGTCTGTTTCCCATCGCTGGTGTCTGGGATGGAGCCAAGTCGCTGGGGCGCTGTGCGGGTGGAGAGCGCCCTCCTCAGGACAGCTGACCTCCCAGAGAGGCTGGGGTCAGGGCCGTCGCCCCGCACCCACCACAGAAAACCCCACCGACTCCGCGCCGGGTCGGGACGGCCTGTGGGTGGAGAGATGTCTGAGCCAGCAATGGGAGCCCCGGGAGGGGATATTTGGGCGGCGGGTCCCAAGGGAGGGGCCGGAGTGTGGTGCCGGTGTGGGTGCGCGCTGACTGTCGCGTGCGGATGAGGGCCCCGACCTCTCCGCGCAGTGCCCAGCACACCTGCGCTGCGGGAGCGACGAGTAGCTGGAGATTCTCGGCCCTCTGGTCCCTGCCTCCAGCCCTTCTGTGCCCTTCCTCAAGATTCTGCAAGGAGGGTGTTGCATATCTTTGGTCAGAGCCCAAAGGGCGCTTGGGTACCACCAAGTCCTCACCCCCCTGCCTTGTTTATAGATAAGAAAACCGGCCCAGCGAAAGAAAGGTCACGTGAAGAGTACCGGCGGCTCAGCCAGTTCTTTTGACTCCCGGTGTAGGGCTGCTCGCACTGCACCAAGTCTTTTCTAATGCTCTCCAGCAGCTACGCCGCAGTCCCGTCTACACCCCAAATCCTCTGGGGTAACACTGAAGCACTGTTACCTGGCAATAGGTGGCGGTCAGGGTAATAAGCAACATTCGGTTGGGGAGACTGGGTTTGGGCCCCTGCCAGCCCACACCTCCAGGATTATTTCAGAGCTGACGGAACGTGGCCAGACTTTTGGTTGAGAGTAACTGAGGGAGACGTGGAGGAGAGCGCGCGTGCTTCACCGACTCCTCCCTTTCTAGGTTGCCTTGTCTGTGTGCTTGGGTGCTCTCTGGTGGTGGGGCCTGGTGTGTGGCGGGGCGGGGTTTTCTCCAGTAAATACCACCCTCTAGGTTCAGCCTTGCTCGGAATCTGAACTGCCTTTCTCTCCTTAATCCACCTCTTGCAACCCTGGGCGCTGCTGAAAGAAACCCACAGAGAGAAAGAGAGTGAGAGAGAGAGACTGGAAATGAAACAAAGAAACAAAAGTAGAACCACCCAGCCTGATAGGATGCCCTTCCCCCTCTCGAAGAGAGGATGCCAGGCCCATAGCCTTGGGGGCTGGAGGCTTTAGCCCCCTAGCAGTCCTTAGGAAGGCCCTGGCCATGGCAGTCCCCAGGGGCAGTTGAATCTCACTGCGTGGGGGTGGGGCTCGTGACGAGAGGTCCTTAACTGCAAAGGCCTCAACTTGTGAGGCAATCACAAGTTGACACTTTGATTTGAGTCTCTGTAGCTGCTAGCTGTCAGCTCTTTGGGGTTGAAGCTTAGAACCCCCCCACCCCAACCCCATTCTCTTCCCTCCCCAAAGAGGTCCTGGAGGACCCCAGACCCTGAGCCCTCCGACATCTTGTCTTACCACTTCAGTAGCAGCTCCTGTTTATACTCTTCAAAATACTGATGCCCTCAGCCTTTCTGGGGGTCCTCCAGACCCTTCAGGCCTGAGATGCTGACTCAGGCTCTGGTGCCTTCTTCCCCTTGGAGGGCCATCTGCTCCTGCCCTACCTGAGTGCTTTCTTGGGTTACGCTGCCAACTTTCTAGACAGTAAAATAGAGCACATCCGGCCACCTCCAATCCCTGCTCAGCTGCTGGCCTGACCCAGCACTGAGTAGGTGCTTCCGAAACATTCATTGGGCTAAACTGAATAAAGGGCAGTGAAAGAGATCAATGCCTGCCTTGCCCACTTCCTGCTTTGCTTTTAAATTGTTATTATAATTTTTTTCAACCCAAGAAACATTTGTTCAGTATAATAAAAAACAAATCACTGCTGCTCCCAGCACCCAGAGATAAATTTGGTAACAACTTGAGGTTATCCCTGTTGTTGCTTTTAGCTGCTGTACAGTCGGCCCCCAACTCATGGTGGTGGCCCAGCAAACAAGGGACCGAAACACTGTCTAGTCCTGCGCCATCCCCATAATCGGTTGCAGATCGGACCATTGTGATCCATAGGGTTTTCAGTGGCTGATTTTCAGAAGTAGATCACTAGGCCTTTCTTCCTAGTCCATCTTAGTCTAGAAGCTCTGCTGAAACCCGTTCAGCATCATAGCAACACGCAAACCTCCATTGATGGATGATAGCTATGCATGAGGTGCTTGAGCTGCTGGGAACCGAACTCAGGTCTTCCTCAGGAAAGGCAAGAATGCTACCACTGAACCACCACTGCCTTCCAAAACCAGTTGTCAGTTCTAGCTCTTCTACAGAATGTATTTATGCTCTATTTACTATTTTCCAGCCTACTTTTTTACTTAATTGGACTTTTCTTTAATATCAGTATGCTGAATCCACATCACAATTGTTATAAAATTCTATTGAATGGGTATTCCACATTTAATTAAGTAATTCCCACTCTTGGATATAATTGGTCCCAGTTTCTCAGTCTTGCCTATAGCTGATGAATAAAGAAGTTTGGAAGAGGCAGTGACACAGAGAAGGGGCTGGGTGAGGAAGGGGATGTTGGGATGCTGTAGTGTTAGAGGGGTCCACTGGGCCTGGAGTGCCATGGCCCCTGGGCTACAGTGAGGATGCCCTCTGGTTCTGAACATTTCTGCCTTGGGTAGAAAAAGAGGGAGGAGGACGTGAGAGGGGACTCCTCTGAGGTCCCAATGGAACTGCTGGGGCTCATTTCCTGCCTGTGGCTTGGAAGGCTGTGAAGGTAGTAGCATACAAGTGGATGTGCTGGGCTGGGCTGGGAGGCCAAGTGGTGGAAGAAGAGGAATGAGAGATGAGGAGAGAGACGTGCAGTGAGGAAGCAAGAGCGATGGGAGAAATGAGGCTCGTAGGGGAGACAGGGAGATGCAGAGACAGAGAAGGTAATGGAAAGAGATGGAAAGATACAGACAGTGAAATCAGGAGCCAGGGTCAGAGAGTCAGGAGACCATGAAAAATAAGCGCCACCCTGCGGGAACAGAGAGATACTGAGAGACAGAGGAGATGAGACACGCGCTAGATAGGTATGAGGAAGAGAAATAGAGACAAAAGAGTACGTAGAGATAGGAGGGGAGGAAGGAGAGATAGACAGAAAGAAGTGCAAGTGCTCTGGAGAATGGGGTGGGGGGCGGTGGGAGAGAGAAAATAGCAGCCAGAGCTGCACCTCAAGGAACTGAGCGTGGACATGTGCCTGGGGTAGGTGGAAGGCTGCCCAGCCGTCTGGACTTACACTCTCTTCCTTCCCTTCCCTTCCCTGCCAGGGCATCAGTCTGGAAGATGAGTTTTCAAATAACTGGAGCCCAGACAAGGCAGAGTTAACAAGTGGCCATTCCAGCCCTGGCCAGCAGCCTCTCCTAAATATTTCTCTCTGGGGGAGATATTTATCAAAGTGTTTCTTGGGTTGATTTAAAAGCCAGCTCGGCCTTTCCAGCCCACTGTGGGCCAAATCTGAACCCGCCTGGGGTGGGGTTAGGAGGGAAGGGCTGTCTGCCATCTCAGGGGATCTGGGTCGGCTGTGGACTTGAAATGCTTCCTTAGGATAACCTCCATGCCCCACTGGCCCCTGGCAAAATGGTGAGAGGACAGAGACCACCATTTAGTAGCACCTCCTGTGGGCACTCTAATTGCATCCTGAGAGCTTTTGCCAGGCATTTTACAGATGAGGAAGCTGAGCATGAGAGGGGTTATGTTTTTTGCCCAGTGCCACACGACTGGTCAGAGGTGAACTCAGTTGCAGTTTCTTTTTTGTGCCAAAGCCTGTGCTCTTTCTGTAACACGAAGCCCAAGTTTCTGCTGTCACCCCCTATAGTGACATTGAGAACGGGACTTGTAGACTCTCAGGCCTTGTAGACTGAGAGTTGTGCAGTTGCTGTGGCTTTGAAATCCATAGCTACCTTTGGCTGAGGCTGTACCACCCCCGGAAAGCTCCCCACTAATGACTGCGTGTGGCCGGCGGGGATACTAAGGCAGAACCAACTCTGGGAGAGGAGGGGTTTCTTTGTTGGCAGGCTTTGGCTCAAGGACTTCCCGATGGCTCTGCATGATAGCCTAAAGACAACCTTCTGTCCCTCACCCTTCACTCATGGTCAGACTTGCCTCCCAGCCTTCCCTGGCTCCCTCCCTGTTTCATTTCACACAGGCATTTCTCCTGATGACATCGTTGCACATTTAATTTCATCTTGGCATCTGCTTCTTGGAGAACCCTTCCATCTTCCGTCAGGTTCTTCGTGCTGCCACACATCTCCCTTGGGCGCCTACGTGGCACACGGGAGGATGATGGGCATCATTTTAGAGGGTCTGTAAGGAAATGGCATTATTTGTCAAGCGATTGTGCGTCATGATGACTTGCTGGCCCTTGTTTCTGGATGGGGACGTGTTGTGGCCCCTGTGTATGCGGCAGGCGGGAGGGGCTCCCACATGGAGCCCTTCTCAGCTTACGCACAAAGCCAGTTGTAACTAACTCATAACGACCCCCTGCCCATTCAGCTCCCAGGCCTATGGTTGTTACATGCCCTTGAGTCGATCCAACTCATAGCGACCCTATAGGACAAAATAGAACTGCCCCATAGGGTTTCCAGGGCTGAAATCTTTATGGAAGCAGACTGCTACATCTCTTTCCCTCAGAGCAGCTGGTAGGTTCCAACCACTGACCTCTTGATTAGCAGTCAAGCACTTAACCACTATGCCTGCAGGCCTATGGTGGAGACTGCTAATTGCCTACCAACATTGATTTTCCCCCTTC